TTTTGATCCCAGCAACTGTACTTTCCCCAAATATTTGATTTGGTTGTACGGAAGATGGCTTCTGAAAATAGGCATCCAATCCTTGCTTCCTCATCCCCACCCATCCTCACTGCCACACAAAGGAAAAAAACATTGAAGGAATTTGTTTTGTGTGAGTGTTGGATGGTGGTGGTGGTATGCACCTACGGGCATGCGGAGGCCAGACGACAACCACCTCGTGTGTCAACCTCAAGTACTATTCACTTTCTTTTTTGCAATGGTCTCTCATTGGACTGGGGCTGGCTGAGTAGGCTAGGCTTGTAGGCTAGAGAGCCCAGGAACCTGCCTGCCTTTGCCTCCTTACAGCTGAATTGCAGTTGTGCCACCACACCTGGCTCTTTGGGGGTTTTTGTTTTGTTTTTGAGTCAGGGTCTCACTATGTAGTACTGGCTGGTCTGGATCCTGATATATAGATCAGACTGGTCTTGAACTCACAGAGATGCATCACCCTCTGCATCCTGAATCCTGGGATTAAGGAGGGTGCCATCATGCCCAGCTGAGTAACAGCTGTTTTGATGACTGTTTTATGTGTCAGTTTACTAAGATACAGTATCTAGTTTGCTCAAACACTAGTTGCTATAAAGGACATTCTATAAATATGATTAACATTTATAATCAGTTGACTTTAAGTAAAGGAAGGTACCTTTAAAGATGGGCCTGAACCCCCTAAAACCAAAAGCTGAAGTTTACTAGAGAAGAAACTATGTCTTAAAACCTCAACATTGTAGTCCTATCTATAAATTTTGAACTCAAGATGATAATCTCAATTCTTATTATAATTCTAGACTGATGACCTGATAGATTCTTGAACTTGTCTTCTCTCACAACTGCACAAACCACTTTTTAAGACAGCCCTTCATATTATATATGTGTATGTAGGTGTATGTAGGTGTGGCTATGTATATGTACACATAGGCTGTACTCACTAATAATCAGTTTCATTGATGATCTGAAGATCAGGCAAGTATTGCCAAAGGAAGTTAATGACAATTATACCTCTTCTGTCAATGAACAAAAATTTACACAAGGCACTTCCAATATAAAGCACTACCTGAGCCCAATGTGACTGGCCCTTAAGCAATATCCTTACTCAGTTCACACAAATCTTAACTTTTCCAATAAAGAATGAAGAGGTCTGATCAAAACAGTCTTCTTTCAGAAATCATGGGCCATATCTGAGGCCTGGTTGAGGTGGTAAAGAGCACTTAAACTAATGAATAAAACTCAAAAGAGAGATGGCTCAGTGGTTAAGAGCATTAGTTGCTCTTGAAGAGGACATGAGTTCAATCCCCAGCACCCACGTGGTGGCTAACAACCGACTCTAACTCCAGTTCTAGGGAATCCAATGCCCTCTTCCGACCTCTGAGGGCACTGTACAATTCGAGTGCACCTACCTACATGTAGGCAAGATTCTCATACACCGCAAGACTCTCATACACATAAAATAAAAATAAAACTCGAAAAAGGAAGTTGATATGACCCACATTCCAGTCCTCATTCAGCATGATAAAAAAGAGATGATAATGAAGATTCCAAATTTTCTTCAGTGTTCTTTAATATTTTTATTTATATTTTTATTTTACGTGTACGTGTGTATTGCCTGCGTGTAAGTTAAGTGCACCAGTGTCATGCAATGCCTGCAGATCCTCTGGAACTGGAATTACAGACAGTTGTGAGGCACATACCTTTAATCCCAGCACCGCACTGGAGAGGCAGAGGCAAGTAGCTCTCTACTACTTGAGTTTGAGACCAGCCTGGTCTACATAGTGAGTTCCAGGCTGGCTGGGGCTACAGGGAGTCCCTCTCTCAAAAAGACAAAGTTAAGAGCAAAGAAAATAGATTTAATTTAGGGAAATGGCTAAGTCCTAGAAAATCTTAAATTATAGTTTAGCTGTTGAGCATCCCCTAAGGTCCAATGACTTGACATCAGGATACTGCTTTGGGGAGATGTAACCCAGTGGTAGGTTCTTAGACCATCAAAGGCATGCCCCTAACAAGACTGTGAGATCATGACCTCTTGTTTCCTGGACACGAGATGTACAGTTTGCTATGCCACATGTTTGTGACATTTGCTAGAATAGTAGATTCATTTGATCTTGGATTAGCACCTCCAACACTGTGAGTGAAAACAAACCTTTCTCTTTGTTAATTTTCTTGGGTAATTCATTATAGTGTTAGGAAACTGGCTGCCATAAATATATTAAAGTATTTTAGATCCTACTTATTTGATCTCCAATGATCCCCAAGGGCTGTACATTATCCCGTGATGTTGCATAATATAACAGAACTCTCTATTTTCAATATTAAAGTGATGACTGTGCACTCAGATGCATCTAGACTCATAGTTTGAGAAGATGGCGCTTAAAACTACTTTTTTTTTTTTTTTTTTTGAGATAGGTTTCCTTGCAATCTCAGCTGGCCTGGAACTGTCTATGTAGACCAGGCTGGCCTCAGTATCAGAGCTCCTCCTGCCTCTGCCACTGGAGTGCTGGGATCAAAGGCGTATGCCACCATGCCCAACAAAACTGTACTATTTTCAATGCTGAACTTCCCTGAGCTCAAAAAAACAACGTATTTTAAAGTTACACAGTTGTTTAGTGAAAACAAGATTTTGAGGGCTGCTCCTTGGTTTTGTTAAGAATTAGTTCTTACTCAGATACAACCACAGGATGTGTGTGATTATAAAAGCCCTAGCTCTACCTTGGTGGTTCATTTTCAAAAGAAATCATTTGTGCTGAAGCAAATGATACTTATTTAAAAAAAACAGTATTAATGTACAATTATTACTAGCTGTGAAAGAGAAACATGTAGTAATATGTAATTATATCAGCTGTTTCTTTCTTAGTCTGTGCTACTATAACATAACACCAAAGGCTGAGAAGGTTAAAAAACAGAAAGTATTTTCTCATACATCTGGAGGCTTAGAAATTCAACATCAAGGTGCCAAAAGATCCTTGTGGCTGGTGAAGATGCACTTCCTGTCTTGCTGTCTTCTGCTTGTGCCCTCTAGCAAAGAATAGAAAAAGTGATCATCTCTTCACTAAAAGGACTCAAATCCCATTTATAAGTCTCCACTCATTCTATAATCACCTCCTGAAGTCCACACCCTCAAATAAATGCCTTCCTTACCTTGGTGAGCTAGGCTAAAGGAAGATTAGTGCTGCTGAGCTGGGCGTGGTGGCTCATGCTTTTAATCCCAGCACTTGGGAGGCAGAGGCAGGAGGATCTGTGTGAGTTAGAAGTGAAAGACAGTGAAAGGAAACATGTCAGGAGTGATGATGCACACGTTTAGACCAGGCACTGGGGAAGCAGAGGCAGGTGAATCTCTGTGAGACAACCTTAGCCTAATCTACTTAGTGAGTTTCAGGCCGGGTAGGGGGGGATGTGGGTACAGGGGAGACCTGTCTCTTACATACATACATACACACACACATACAGAGGGAGAAGGGGTGGAAGAGAGATTCAGAATATAATGTTTAGTACCTACTGAATGTGTTGGGGTTCATATTTTTCTTTTTAAAAATTTGGCATTACTGTTTGAACCACAAGGACCACAGAAAAATAAAGAGTGCACAAAACATCAATCACAAGATTCAGAAATTCTGGAGAATTTTTAAAAAACTTTTATGGAATTGTAGAATTAAAAGCCTGTATCAGTAAAACAACCCCAATCTGATTATTGGTTTTAAATGAAAACACTCATATCGAGAATAGACTTTAGTCATACATAAAACAGAACTGTCTTTAAACTGAGAGTGGCCCTAGTTCTATAGCACTATAACTACTTTTTTTTCTAATAAAGGCTTATTATAATGGTTTTGTAATGGTTTCAGGGTTGTATATTACTGCTAGAAATTGTCATTTTGAATTACACAAGGCTATCATCATCAACATCAGTAATAAGTAGTTTAAATATTCATAGAACAAGACTAACATATGTTCCCAGACTCTAGTAAACAATAAGATTCGTGGCCAAGATATCTCTTTTAACAATTGGTTCTTAAGTAATTTACATTTTGGTCTCTTTTGATATTAAAAGAATGTCTTGTGTTGTGGCATGTTTGACTGATTAAAGTGTTTTCCCACTTTAAAAGTGACAGTTTAACATAAAGTGGTGAGAACATATTCCTTTTTTTTTTTTTCGTCCTTTTTGAGCCGCTCTTCTTGTAGCCCCAGCTGGCCTGGAACTCACTATGTAGACCAGGCTGGCCTGGAACTCACAGAGATCCGCCTGCCTCTGCCTCTGCCTCTGCTGGGATTAAAGGCATGCACCACCACATCGGCTAAATAATGTTCCTTTTCCTTATTTGTATTTGGTCTAGGATAAACCTTTATCCCTGGGAAGTCGCTGGGTCAGAAGTGTCTCAGAAATAGCCTGGGATTCATTGGGCCATCCCTGGAGCCGCTGCACACAGCGCTTCACAGCCGGCTACAGGAGACCATCTCTCAAAGTCCGCAGAGCCAGGGCAGAGGACCAACTGCCTAGCAGCAGACAGGACGAGGAGCAGCCCATGTACGCATGCTCCAGCCGCCCCCCACGCCCCACCCCTCACGCCCGGTCGGGTAAGCTGCGTGGAGGTTCGGATTCAACTTGAAAGAGGCGGGTCGCAAGGTAGGAAGGGACCAGAGTGGGTAAGGCCAAATAACTAAAGCGATGCGGCTGACGTGACTAAGGCCAAAGAACTAAAGGGATGCAGCTGGCTGGACCCCCGAGGACCTGGCTGGGGTGAAGCCACCCGCGTGCGCTGGGTCCTCCGCGTGGCTCCGGGCCGGAAGCCAGGCGGCCTCGTGCCGGTCCCGCCGTCGGAGCCCGGGCTCGGCCGGCGCGTGGCAGGCTCGGGCGGCGCGCAAAGCCGAGGGCGGGGCCAGCCTCCAAGCCCGCCCCTGGCTCCTCCCCCGAGCGCGCGAGTTGGCTCTACTTGGCGCCAAGGCCCACCCCATCATCGCCCCTCCCCTCTTCCGGGCCTCGAGCCCCCCCGCACGCCACGTCGAGACCGCGCTCGCCCCTCGGCCGGCCGCGCGCTCCGCTAGCAGCCCGTCACCTCAGCGCGTACTCGGCGGCCGCCCGACGACATAGCTGCACGCGCCAGACGAGGCTCGCCGCGCTCGCGCTCTGGTCCCCAGTCCCAGAACGCGGCCGCAGCCGGCGAGGGTGCAGCCCCGTAGCGGCGGGCGGTGAGGACAGCGGGCCGGGGCGGCGCGGCGGCGGGGCCCAGGGAGTCAGGGAGGGAGGTCTGTACGGGCCCACCGCCACGTCGAAGGCGAAACGGCGGCGGTGGGCCCTCGGCGGGCCCCGGAGGGAGGCGACACGGCCTCAGGCGCGTGCCACGTCGCCTAGCGTCTAATGGGTGGGCGGAGGCGGGCCGGGGGCCCGGGGCTGGGGCGGGTAGGAGGGCGGCCTGCAGTCTTGCCCCTGAACTTGGTGGAAGCCAGGCGTGCAGAAGTTGGACGCGGCGCGCAGGCCGCTCCGAGGAGGGCGTGGGGCCGGCCGCGGGCCGGGGATGCTGCGGAGCCCCGATCGGTCGGGTCCGGATTCCGCCGGCCAACGCCACTCACGCGGTCCGGAGCCCCTCGTTGCCTTGGCGGCCGCGCTTCCCGCCCCCTCCACCCTGGTAGGACCTTCGGGGCAAACACTGGGTTTCTAGAAAGGGTTGCGGTGAGCTTTTCGAGACCAGGGGGTGGGGACTACAAAGTTAGAAACTGGAAGGCCGGGCTTGTGAAACAAAGTAGAACTTAAGGAGCAGCCGCCGTGATGACGATGTCTCTGGATGACGTCACCAAGCGGTGTTTAAAATGGGTGCTTTGGGGGGAGTGGGTGGAGGGAGTGCGGTCCCTATTGGCCCCTCTTGCGGTAGTGCTCGCCCTGTGTTACCTTTTTGCACTCCGGGAATGTGGGAGTGGGTTAATGTTTCAGCTGTGCCAACCATCATTCTTTCAAACAGAAACATAAATAAGTCCATATGACTCATCCTCAGTTACTAACCAAAAGCAACCCCTAAGTGGTTCTTTCCTTCCTTTATTTTTTTATATGAAATTGGACAAACTAAAGCGAATCCCCAAACTCTGTTAATGTAGCACACAGTTGGCAGGCCTAATGAATGAGAGTGATTTAGTCAGTACATCTCTTTAGTGTGAGTCCTTGTGTTTGGTGGTTTATGTATTTCCACCCAAAACTTTCTCCTCAAACTGTATATTCAGTTCCAATGGGTTTTCTTTTGCATCATAAGGTGCTCCAGTGTAAATGTAGTTTAAAAAAGTGGAAATACCTAATTTTTTTTTTTTCAGAACGAAGTATTTACAGCAGTTGTAGTGGATGCGCACACACTGTTGTGTGCAGAATCCATCCCAGTTAATGTAAACGAACAGTGGTGAAGTTGGCCTTCTAGGGTTCCAGGAGGAAGGTGTGGGTGATATGGCTGCCTAGACACCTCTCGGATAACTATATAGAATTTATTTCACAGTAAGTTCTCTTGTTTGAATTTGCAGGCACAGTGAAGGAACCACATTATGAAGAAGAGTTTCAGAAAAGGAAGCTAACAGCTTTTTATTTTTTAGGAACATAGACTATTGTTAAGTTAGTTTTTTTTAATATTTTATTATTTTTATTTTGTGTCTATGAGTATATTGCCTGCATGCATGTGAGTGCACCCATGTCGTGCAGTGCTGTAGAGGTCAGAAGAGGGCTTTGGATTCCCCTGGAACTGGAGTTAAGGAGGGTTCATAGCTGCCATGTCAGTGCTGGGAACCGAACCCTGGTCCTCTGCAAGAACAGTCACTGCTTTTAACCGCTGAGCCATCTCTCCAGCCCCAAGTTAAGTGGTTTTTATACTAAACATAGCAGGGACTGTAAGTGCCTCCCAGGAAGGTGATGTTTGGTAAATGCTGCATCTTAGTATCTTCAAGTTACTTTCAGCAGCCAAATGAATGAGCTCATCAAGAAAGGCGCTCGCTCTCTCTCCATATATATATATATATATATATAAACAAGGTTTTTGCCTTTATGCATTAATCAATGATAAGTCAAATTTGCCATTTTAAGAGTCCTTTGAGGCAGTTCCAAAATGGAGCTGACTGTTTAATTTTTCTATGAGTGATCTTGCATTTCTCTCTGTTAAATATATTTTGATAGTCGTTATTTTTTGTCTTAGCTTTTAGAAAAATATACCTATTCCTGGAAGAGTATTTATAAAAGTTCAGTGCTGAAAAACTTTTAATATTATCACAGCTTTGTCAGGTATATTTATACACCATACAACTCATCCATTTAAAATACACAATTCAATGGTTTTAGCTTTTCAGAGTTGTGAAGCCATTATAGTACTCAGTTTTAGAATTTATTACCCCAGAAAAGTAACCTTGTCCTTATTAGAATTATTCCTGTAATCCTCTCAGCCACCCAGTATGTTTTCTACCTCCATAGACTTTACCGCTTCTGGACATTACATAGGAAGAAATTATACAAGATGTGGTCTTTTGTGCATGGTTTCTTTGCCTCTGTATGATGTATTTACGGCTCTCCCATCTTCTGGCATGTGTTAAAACTTCATTCTTTTTAATTGCCAAACAATACTCCATTGCACGTGTATATCACACTTTGTCCATTCATCGTTTGATGGATATTTGGGTTGTTTTCTGGACATTACATAGGAAGAAATTATACAAGATGTGGTCTTTTGTGCATGGTTTCTTTGCCTCTGTATGATGTATTTACGGCTCTCCCATCTTCTGGCATGTGTTAAAACTTCATTCTTTTTAATTGCCAAACAATACTCCATTGCACGTGTATATCACACTTTGTCCATTCATCGTTTGATGGATATTTGGGTTGTTTCTACTTTATGGCTGGTAGGACTACCTCTGCCATTGACATTTTTGTACAATTTTTTTTTTTTTTTTTTTGAG